CGATGGGAAATGCATTCAAAAAATTTCGTACGGATATGTTTGGTATTTCTTGAGTTATCGTGCTCACAGACAAACACACACACACACATACACACACACACACATACACACACACACACACATACAAACCCAGATGATTACATAACCTCCTGGCGGAGGTAACAATAGTTGTCAAACCCAGCTGAAAAACCAGCTGAGAATATACCTGGAGATACGGACAACAAGCGATGGGCTACAAAAATGTCAGATAAAAAGCTATCCGACAAACTAGAGTTAATTCAACGTCCTGAAAATTGCTTAGGTCTGATTGTGCCTCGAGTTAATTCAGAAATTTGGTCAAACCTTGACATGTTTAATAGGCGCAGGGATCTGCGAACTAGTAATGTTCAGGAAAAGCTGGCAATAGCAGGGAGCTCCTTAATTTATACCACCAACAAGCCCCTAGTTCACTAACGGCAAAATGGCAATCAGGTGTACCCCACCGAATTCATCAAATCCATTATAGAAATTATGGCAATTCTAGGACGTGCCTTTGTTGATTTGTCCCATCATCGCAGAGAAGCTATCAAACCAAATCTTAATAAAGAGTTTGCTGCTCTATGTTCAGGGCAGGTACCAGTCACTGCAAACCTATTTGGTGACGATTTGCAAACTGAGTGCAATAATGTAAAGTTTGTTCGTTCACTGCAACCATGCAGGTATATCAGGCATATCAATCATGTTTCGCTCGCTACTCTGGTTTAATTAAATAAATGATTACAAAGCCCAGAAGTATTGTAACAAGACCCAACGTTTCGACACTCCAGTCTAGTGTCTTTATCAGGGGTGATCTAAAATTGCAATCGTGGCTTCTTAAATACCCAAGCGATGACGTCATCTGCCAATAAGATGCATATATTCCTCTGGCAAATAGGCACCGTCATCGCTATTCAAAGCATGATGACTCATATTTATATGCCACGCTTCTTGGCAAAGTCTTTAATTTTCCTTTGTCTAAAGTTGAAACAGCCTTTTGATGTTCAGGGCTAAAAGAACATCAATGAGTGAACATCAATGAGAAACATGATTGCGTGCAATAATATTAAGACCACAAATAAACTTCGCCAGTCGGCCAGGGCCTTTTTTAACATACAAGCTGGGGGGGGGGGGCATTTGTGTTGAAATTAGTAATAATCATTTATATTATTGCATACATTAAGTATTTTGTTTTAAGAGATATGATCGGACGGTGATCACATGACTTTCGAACACGTTGTTCTCTCTTCTGATCGTATGTGTCGAAGCGTATATATTGTATTCATGTATCGTACGTAAAACGTTTATTTTTCATATTAAATAACATGGTTTTTAACAGGTTATGGGCCCAGGTGCCGCTTGAGTGTACGATACGTATGTCTTAATTGACGGGAATAATATAGTGTGTTTACTGGAGCGTAAACGTGCCGTTGAAAAGTGCAAACTAAGCTATTGTTTGCGAAGGAAAAATTCAATATGGCGGAAATAAGGGAAATTACAAAGATTGAACATTTCAATGGAAAGAACTACCAATCTTGGAAGTATAACATGAAATTAGTATTGATGGAGCGAGGATTATGGGGTTTTGTAAATGCAACTGAGGAACAGCCAGCTGAAACCGCCACTGCACAGGTAAAAAGTGCGTATCAACTAAGATCTGACAAAGCATATTCATTGATTGCACTAAGCGTTGATAAGAATCTACAAGTTCACATTAGTACAACAACAAATCCTTTGGAAGCTTGGGAGACACTTCGAAAGCAATTCGAGTTCGTTTCAATCACTCAAATCGTAAGATTAAACCGCAGATTTTATGCTGCTACTATGAAAGAAGATGGCGATATAATGGAGCATATTACGTACATGACAACACTGGCAGAGCAATTGCGAGAAATAAAAGAGGAGATTTCAGATCAGAAATTTGCCACAGTGATTTTAGGAAGCCTTCCTGAATCGTATGAAAATTTTATTTCAAGTTTGAATGCTCAGAAAGTAGAAGATCTTAAGGTGGCTCCCTACAGTTATTCTTGTTTAAGCAATAAGTCCGTAAAACAGGCTTATTCGAGCAGAACGCGAATTCTTTTCGACTTGGTGGCAATATTGGTCACCTAAGGAATATTTCGAACTAGATTTCGACGATGTCAATGTTCCCATGGCAACATGACGACAGCATAAAGCCTTCCAATTTAACCCATAAATGTGCCGCTATCTCAAAAACGATGTCGGCTTTTTTATTTCATATATCAATAAGT